AATGTACGGCGCCGGTGGGTGCCTCGCCGCCGCGCACCGCCATGCCTTCGACGAGGTGTTGTGGGGGAGCGGCCGGCCGCCGACCGCGATGGTGCGTGAGCTGCCGCGCAAGGGGCAGGGCGCGACGCAGGCGTACACCGTCGCCACAGCGGGGGAGGAAAACAGTGGCTGGGCGCCCATCCGCATCGCGGTGTCCACGGAGGATTTGACGGACCCCAGTAAGCACTGCAGCGAAGAAGGGGAAATGAAACCGAACTTCAGGGGACAGAATTCACAGTGCAAGAAGGAGGAGGTTTTGACCTCGGATGTGAGAAAAAAACCTGGTGGATGAGATTCTTCCTGTGGCCGTCGGACTGCACGCGGAGCGTTTGCTCGTTCAGCGCATGAAGACTCCGTTGGTTGTGCCCCGGTTTACAGCGGAGCATGGGCGCTGCAAATACTTCAAGGTCCCCGAGGCGCATCACACGGTGGGATTGAAGGACACAGACATGGTGCTCTACGTGGCTTCCAGGTCGAATTACGGGACGTGGGCTATCCCGTGTGCGTTCGCAGAGGACGGTCGTCCAATTGCCGGTGCCCTGCATATTATGCCTTCTTATACGCTTGGCGTCATGCACTTTGCTCGCACCACTGCGCATGCGATTGCCCATGCTCTTGGCTTCAGCATGGAACAGATGAAGAAGCACGACATGCTGTTGAACGTGACTGATGTGCGCGGCGGCAGCTCTCCCGTGACGGTGGTGAAGTCACCTGTTACGCTGAGCAAGGCGAAGCTGCACTACGGCTGCGACACCCTCAAGGGCATGGAGCTGCGCAATTATTATGAAGGGGCATATGTGTGGTCGGTGCGCAATGCGAAGGACGAGTTGATGAGTCAGTTTGGTAAAATATTCGCTGGCTACTACACTGCACTGACGATGGCGGCGCTTGAGGACCTCGGCTACTACAAGGCCGTGTGGGGGATGGAGGAGCCGATGGCGTGGGGCAACAACTCCGGCTGCGAGTTCCTGGATAACCCGTGCTCGGAAAAAATTTCCACCACTTACCCCGACATGTTCTGCGATAAAAAAGATGCGTTGTCGATTCGCTGCATGTCCAACCGTCAAGCCATCGGGGTATGTACTGTCGATGCTTCTCTAGCCAGCAGTGGCGAAAAGGAGACGTGCAGTGTTATTTTACCGCCTCGTTCTGGGGAAAATCTTTTTTGCACAGAGGAAGGGGACGACACCCTACCAGGGTCCCTCCACGGAAAGGGCTCGTGGTGCCTCGATGCAGAACCATTCACGCTCATGAGTGACACTGCCTCCAATAGGAATTTTATCATGCACGCGGTGTGTGCGATGGTGCAGTGCGAGGAGGGCAAGGTGAAGGTGAAATATCTTGGCGGGAGTGATTTTGAGTCGTGCCCCGAAGGGGAATTTATCACGCCCAAATCAGATCATTTCAAGGGCGGCAGAAGGGTCAAGTGCCCGAGGTACGAGGAGGTGTGCACCATCGCCGCCGATGGCAGCAGCCTCATCAACCTAAAGAAAGGCGACCACGACAATGACGGCCACGGCCATGACGACTACGAAAATGACGATAACAAAAATGATGGCCACGGCAATGACGGCCACGGCAATGACGGCCACGGCAAAGGCGACCACGGCAAAGGCGACCACGGCAAAGACGACCACGGCAAAGACGACCACGATGGCTGTGCGGCTGCTGTTGTTCTTTCCAGTCTGCTCCTCGCCGTGATTGCTGCGGTGGTGGTGGCGACGTTGCCGCTTTGAGCAGTGGCCGCAGCAACAGAGCACTTCCTGCAGCGGCAGGGCAATGGTGCCTCGACGCTTCTCACA